CTGTTTGTTTTGAGATAGGGTATTTATATGTAGTTTTGCTTGTCCTGGAACTTACTCTGTAGACCAGAATGGCCATGAACTCTCAGAGAGCCTCCTGCCTCTGCCTTCTGGATGCTGGGATTAAGCACATGCACTAACATGCCAAGCTCTTTTAAAAAATTTTTTTTAATTTTTGTTTTTTGAGAGAGTTTCTCCGCATAGTCCCCACTGTCGTGGAACTCACTTTGTAGACCAGGCTGGCCTTGAACTCACAGAGATCTGCCCGCATCTGTCTTCCGAATGCTGGGACTAAAGATGTGTGCCACCCTGCCAGGCTTCTTTTTAAAAATTTTGATTTACCCAGGTCCCCTCCCACTGCCCGGTTTCTCCAAGTCTCTCTTTTTTGAAAATTAAAAACATTTAAATTTTTTATGTGTATGGGTGTTTTGCCTTCATATGTTTGTGCATCACTTGCATGCCTAGTGCCCCCAGGCCAGAAGACAGAGTTGAATCCCCTGGAGCTAGAGTTACAGATGGTTGTGAGCTGTGATGTGGTGCTGGGAGTCGAACCTGGGTCCTCTACAAGAGCAGTCAGTGCTCTTGACTGCTGAGCCCTATCTAGCTCCAGATGCTATTATCTTTAGGGTTTGGCAGAAGCTAATGCTCTGCTAAGTTTAACAATGCATTCCAAGGTTTTACCTAATAGTAACCAAAATACTATGTCAGACAGAGAGATAGTTGGTAAATGGCTATCAAAAGGGACTACCAAGCCCGAATTGGTGTGGAATTGTAATCCTGGTAGCTCAGAAGGTTGATGCAGAAGTCAGAAAGTTCAAAGCCCACCTAGACAATTTAACATGTCTGAAAATAAATGTAAAAAGAAGGCTGTGGCTACACTTCATTGGCAGAGTGCTTGCCCAGAAAGCATGAGCCTCAGGCTTCAATCCTCAATACTGCAACAAAGGTGAGGAAACTAAAGATACCCCAAACATAATGTGGCTTTCAATCTACAACGTCCCAGGTCTCTATGACGATAACATTCTATTCATGCCAGTCTGCAGAACCTTCAACACAGAGCATGTTGGTTCACAGATTTCAGACCCACCAGATTCCTGTTTCTTGTTGGGTGGTGGTGACACACACTTTTTTCAAAAATAACCTCTCTCTCTCTCTCTCTCTCTCTCTCTCTCTCTCTCTCTCTCTCTCTCTCTCTCTCTCTCTCTCTCTCAGATTTATTATGTATACAGTATTCTGCCTGTATGTCTGCCTGCAGATCAGAAGAAGGCACCAGATCTCATGACAGATGGTTGTGAGTCACCATATGGTTGCTGGGAATCAAACTCAGGACCTCTGAAGAGCAGCCAGTGCTTTTAACCCCTGAGCCATCTTTCCAGCCCAGACACACACTTTTTAATACCAGCACTCGGGAGGCAGAAGCAGTCTGATCTCTGAGTTTGAGGTCAGCCTGATCTATAGGGCAAGTTCCAGGACAGCCAGGGCCAAACAGAAACCCTGTCTTAAAAAACAATAAATGTATAAACAAACAGATAAAATCCTGTTTCTTCTCTACCACCTAACTACCACCATCAGCTAGGTATAGAATCTGGGACTTGGCCAATGCTAGGCAAGTGCTCAGTCACTGCACTGAACACACCCTTTTAAAATTGGGATTCTCCTGGTCTCACTAGCAATGGTGTTTAAATTTAAATATTACTGTGTGTGTGTATGCACACACATGTGCATACACAGGAACCTGTGAGGCATAGCACATATGCAGAAGTCAGAAAATAACTTTGGGAGTTGTTTTAACACATGGAGTTTGGGGCTCCCAGGTCATCAAGGTTGTAACAAGCATTTTTACCTGCAGAGCCATCTTACTCACTCACTGGACCTGAACCTTGTCTCTGGTCTACACCTTTGTTTCTTCTTGTTTTAATACTTCCTCACCTCTCTGGCTTCCCCCTTTCCCCTATCCTTCTAAAATCATGTGTTCAACCATCACCAGTGACTTCAAATCACTAAGGTGATTACTCAGTTTTCAAAGTCCTGCTTTTTCCATGCCAGTCTCACAGGGATAAGTTTGTTTAAAATGTTTAAAACATGGGGAGAATACAGAGAAACCCTGTCTCGAAAAACAAAACAAAAACGGGGGAGGGGGGGTTGGGCTCAAACTTAAAAACTCAAATATTTACAGTACATTGCATTTTGAATGTCATCATTCATTCATTTATTCAATATTTAGTGAGTGCTGGATTTAGTGAGTGCCAGGCTATTTTTAGGCCATGGAGACCTAGCAATGATAAAGAAATATAGGCCAGGCATTGGTGGCACACACCTTTAATCCCAGCACTCGGGAGGCAGAGGCAGGCAGATCTCTGTGAGTTCAAGACCAGCCTGGTCTACAAGAGCTAGTTCCAGGACAGCCTCCAAAGCCACAGAGAAACCCTGTCTCGAAAAACCAAAAAAAAAAAAAAAAAAAAAAAAAAAATACAGTCCTGGAGAAATTTGTGCTTCATGGTGTGAGGAAAAAAAAAAAAAAAAGACACACAAACCTAGTTTGGGGAGAAGGTTGAGGATCCAGTCCAGTGGGTAGTGTGGGTAAAATGCTTAGGACAAGAGTTCAAATACGTAGTGTTCATGGAGAAGCTAGGTGCGCTGTTCATATCTGTACCTATAGAACTGGGGAAGTAGACTCCTGTGCATCTCTAGAGCTTGCAGGTCAATAAGTCTAGTAAATCAGTATGCTCTGGGTCAGTGACACCCTGTCTCAAAAAATAAGGTAGTGGGGCTGGAGAGATGGTTTAGCAGCTAAAAAAACGTTGGTGCTCTTGCAGGGGACCCAGGTTCAACTCCCAGTACCCACATGGAAACTCACCACCATACATTAACTCCAGTTCCAGGCAATTGATCTGACATTCTCTTCTAAAATCCACGAGTACCAAGCATGCATGTGGCACACACACATACATGGAGGCAAAACACACACACACATAAAATAAATGAATATAAAGAATAGACTACGATGTAAAGGCTGGGCTGTAGTTCAGAGAAATAGTGTTAGCTTTGTATGAGTAAGTCCTTAGGGCTGTCAAGATGGTGATGATGATGATGATATGATGTGGAGAACAGTCTAAGAAGATACCTACCATGGACCCTTGGTATGACATGCACAGACATGCATACTTGCACACGTGTTCTCACACGAATAGGAACACACGCACGCACGCACGCACACACACACACACACACACAAATAAATTGGGTTGGGGATGCAGCTGGCAGAATGCTTAACACACACGGAATTGTATGTTAGAGCCTTGGCACTTCAGCACTGCATACACCAGGCTGGTGCTGCAAACCAGTAATCGTAGGATTCAAGTAAAAGGTAAAAGCAGGAAGATCATTTCAAGTTCTAGGCATAAACCTCTCAAGGTCAAAGTGGTGAGGCCCCATTCCCTAGACTTTATTAAGGGCCACAACAGCCTTTCCCGGCCCATGGAGGTGGGAGAGTGGCCAGGCCCTGCCCTACAGGCAAAAACGAAACAAAACAAGACAAAAACAACCCCAAGATCAAGCCATAAAATCCCTCCAATCCCAGGCCACACTGGAAAACTCAGTGCCCCAAGAAATCCTATATAAGGTCTGCCTCATGCTCCGTTCTTTGCTGCTTCTCTCCAGAGCAGAGGCAGTCATTCTCGTAAAGAGTGATCAAGGTGGAAGGCAGAGGTAGGGGAAATTCTGTGAGTTTGAGGTCAGTGTAGTCCATGTAGAGAGTTCCAGGACAGCCAGGAGACTGTTACACAGAGACAAAAATATCTCTGACATGGCAAAAATCCAATTCTCCAAGAGGACATCTGAAGACTTTCTTAGGCAGGAAAAGGATTACTGTACTACAAATCTAAGCAAATAATCCTCCCCCCCCCAACCAAGTGACAGGGTTTCTCTGTATAGCTTTGGCTGTCCTGGAACTTTGTAGATCAGGCTGGCCTCCATGGAGATCTGGAGATCTGCCTGTCTTTGCCTCCAGATTGCTGGGATTAAAGGCATGCACAAATCAAATAATTTTATTCAATGAGTTGAGCTACTTATTATGTTCTGGCTCTCCTGAATTAACAGCTGTGACCACAGACTAAGTAAAGAGTGGAATTTTGATTATTGGATAGATAAAACGACTCTAATGAAGCCCACAATTCACTATTTGTTAGTGACAAAGGCAAAACAAGAAATACAGAAGATGGGTGGTAGTGGCACAAGCCTTTAATCCCAGCACTTAGGAGGCAGAACTAGGCAGATCTCTGTGAGTTTAAGACCAGCCTGGTCTATGGAGTGAGTTCCAGGACATTCCGAGCTACAGAGACCCTGTCTCAAAAACCAAAAACAAAAGAATGACAGAAGAATCATGAATTAGTACTAGACCAAATTTAATTTGATTAGGCCAGGAAATAAATGACTTATATATCTTTGATCCTAGCACTCAGGAGGCAAAGGCCAGTCTGGAGGATCTTTTGATCCTTGAGGCCAGATAGAATTACATAGTGAAACCTGTCTCATGTAGCACAGACTGGCCTCAAATCATATAGCTGATGCCAGGCGTTGGTGGCGCATGCCTTTAATCCCAGCACTTGGGAGGCAGAGGCAGGCGGATCTCTGTGAGTTCGAGGCCAGCCTGGTCTACAAGAGCTAGTTCCAGGACAGTCTCCAAAGCCACAGAGAAACCCTGTCTCGAAAAACCAAAAAAAAAAAAAAAACAAACAAACAAAAAAAACAAAAAAAAAACTCATATAGCTGAGAATAACCTTGAACTTCTGATCTTCCTGACTATACCTCTGGTTAGCTGGGATTACAGTTATGTTCCACAAAACACTTTTTTGGTATATATATTTCTTTCACAGGAACATTATACACAGATACTAATCAATTTGGGGCAGAAAAATGTCACAACACACACACACACACACACACACACACACACACACACACACACACACACACACCCCAAAACAAAAAAACAAAGAAAAAAATAAATTGGAACCAGGATGTGAATTTAATTAAGTAGAGACTCTTGGTTTAAAACCAGAATTTGTGGGTGTTCAGGATAGAAACAAGAAAGTGGTTTAGAAGAGTGCCTACTGCTTTCAGTCTGTCTTTTCAGACTTTGGTATAGACCTTTAAAGAGACAAAACTGACATACTTTTAGCAGTTAGTTCTTTGGTTTTTAGGTCACCTAGCTAAAGAGATTTGTCTAGGAAGTCCCTGCTTTGAACTGAAGCATCAATGAACTGGAAACCATCCATGTCATACAGCTAGGAGGCAGAAAGTTTCTTGGAAGATCAGTCTTTTTTATTCACAAACCCAGAACACTTGTGGTGGTAGAGAGTTGGTCACATTTAGGATCTGACATTTCTAAACCCTGTTTGTAGCTCCTGATATTGTGCTTTAAAAAAATCTACCTTATGTGTATGAGTGTTTAGCCTACAGGTATGTATATGTATTACATGTATTCCTGCTGCCTGCAAAGGCCAGAAGAGGCCATTGAGTCACAGACGGTGGTAAACTTCTATGTGGGCTGTGGAAATTGAACCTGGGTCCTCTGGAAGAGCAGCCTCTTAACCACTGAGCCACCTCTCCAGCTCTGAAGTTTGTATTTTTATGCAAAGGAACTCTGACAATGAAACGCTTTCACCCACATCACCCTCATTTACTCGGTTTTTGGAGACTAGTACTTAAAAGATAAATAGGAAGTCACTCTCCATTTTCAACTGAAAGAAGCTCTGAGTCTAATCAAGAATGGTAAATATTATTCATTTTCTTCTGTGAACATCTTACTTAAATGCTTCACCAAAGCCACTAGTGCAGGGTTCCCGCCACAGGCCTCAATTTGTTTGTAGGCTTTAGCTTCAAGCTCTCTAAGAGTGTAACGAGTATATTCAAAAGAACCTACATCCTCCAGGTACTGCACACAGTATTTTTTAATATCTATATTTTCTGTTCTTTGGCGCAGGATGTTCTGTACCTGGGTGCTTTCTGGTCTTGACCAAATGGCGTGAATAGTGGGGAATGAGAACTTTCCTTCTGTCAGGTCTTCACAGAAGCTTTTGTTTTCACTGTATTCTTTGGAGTGTAGATTGGCATAATCATCTCTAATCTGGAAGAAGAGACCAAGTGTATCAAGTAGTGGCTTTAAATCTTCTTTGTAATCAGAGAACAACTGCATGAGACCTACTGCTAGTCCAAATAATCCACCTGTCTTCTGTAACACCATGGCTTTATATTCTTCCTCAGTGGGACAGGTGTAGGTGTCCCTCCAGTAAATATCTAGGCCTTGTCCCTGATGGAGTTCCAAAAGTTGACGTGTGAAAAGCTTCACAGCATCTGGGTGATCAAGCGTTAGGACTTTTTCTAGGCCAAGGAAATAGACATAATTGGCAGAATTGATGACAGATGGGATTCCATAGATGCTGTGTGCCACTGGAAAACCACGTCGGAGCTTTGAATTGTCTTCGATATCATCAATGAGTAAGCTGGCATTATGTAGCATTTCAGTCACTTCAATGATAATCTAGAGCAAAACAACCAAAATACAAAGAACATCTTACTAATATACACATAAAACACACTGCTGTGGGATAATCCTTCTAAACACTGTGAATAATATGTTGCTCTCATTGGTTAATAATAAACAATAAAAACTGTTTTGGCCTATAGCAACACAGAATATACCTAGTTAGGAAAGCCAGACTGAATCCAGGGAGAAAGAAGAGTAGATTTGAGGGAGACTTGAGCCTGCTTTGCAAGAAATAAGATGCCAGCAGATTGGTAAAAGCCATGGCCAGGTGGTGATACACAGATGAATAGAAATGGGTTAATTTTTTTTTTTAAGAAATGGGTTAATTTAAATTAAGAGACAGTTAGTAAAAAGCCTGAACAAAGGTGATTAAATTCAGGGATCATGTTCTTAAAAGAAAAAGGGGACATGATACAGAAATGATAGGAAAAAAGGGTAGATTATTGTAATTGGAAAAAAAAGGTAGATTATTGAATCTACTTTAATCTAAAAAAACAACTGTTAATCTCAAAATATTTTACATCGGTATAGATTTAGTTTATTGATATAAATTTAAGGTTAATTTTCTTTTGATGAATGTATATTTCTACTCTTTTTTTAAGGCACTGTGTTTATACAGCTCAATTAAAAATGTAATGTATAATAAGGAATATAGGGTTACAAAAATACAATAGGCATGTATAATAGTCAAACTTAAAGTCATGTTAGCTAGGTTTTCTAGATATACAAAGGGATACTTCAGATAGATAGGTATTCTTTAAACATTTCAAAGACCTAACAAAGATGGCATTTTAAATGTCTTAACAACATACTCCAAAAATAACTATGGGCATCAAAGAAACTCAATGGAGTTTGTTCTCTTTATGGCAAAAGCTGGCCATGTGGGCAAAGAAACTGCCCTTGTTTTAATTGCTGACATATATTGTCTAAACTAAACCAGCAGGAAACAAAAATAAGGCAACTGCCAAGCTTTGCCAAGACAAGGTAGGACAGTCCTTTAAAATTCTCTTTTTCACAGGAAAATCTATAAGATATGCTAGGCCTGTAGGCCAAAGACAGATGCTCCAATATTGCAGAGGAACGTTGGGTAACTTTCCAGGCAGCCAGATGTTTCTGTCATTTTTTTACCTATTTGGAAGTTGCTTGTCTGCACTTCCTGCTTACTCAGGTCATAATATTATTCCCTTCTCTGGTCTTTGATGGAGTTGAAGACTAGATAGTTATAATTATAGTTGTTCTTAGCTATGATAGAAGGCAAGTCAGATACGAAACTTTAAATTCAACCAAGACAGAATAACTAAATATTTTCTTTAATTTTGTCAAATATAAATAGATTAGACATTGTAACTGTCATTTTTACTTGATAACGGTTTTATTGTCTAATTTTACTCTGTTAATATTGAAAGATTCCTTTTTTGATTAGACAGAAAGGCAGAAATGCAGTGGGATAATCTTTCTGAATGCTGTGACTATATGTTTTTCTCATGATTGATAATAAAAGCTGCTTTGTCATATAGCAAGGCAGAATATAGCTGGTGTGGAAACTAAACGGAATACAGGGAGAAAGAAGGGCAGGGTCAGGGAGATGAGAGCCAGCCACCCAAGAAACAAGATGCCAGCAGACTGTTAAAATCATGGCCACATGGCAATATATGGATGAACAGAAATGGGTTAATTTAAATGTAAGAGCTAGTTAGTAATAAGCCTGAATTATAAGCCAAACATTTTGTAATTAACATTAAGCCTCTGAGTGATTATTTAGAAGTGGCTGTGGGTCAGAGAAACCTCTGATTATAACACACATGTAAAGGTATACAAATACAAATATACAAAGACTATTATTGCACATACATGTGTACACACACACAGAGAACTTTTTTTTTTTTGGTTTTTTGAGACAGGGTTTCTCTGTATTGTTTTGGAAGCTATCGGTCCAGCCCAGCCTCGAACTCACAGAGATCTGCCTGCCTCTGCCTCCCAAGTGCTGGGATTAAAGGCGTGCGCCACCACCGCCCGGCCCAGAGAACGTTTTAAAAGATTTACTTTTACTATTTTTAATTTGTGTATGTTTCAGTGTGTGAGTATACACATGTGAGTACAGTTGCCCCTGGAGGCTAGAGACATCTGATTCCCCTGGATCCTGAATTATAGGCAGTTGTGAGGTGCCTGCTGTAGGTGCTGGGAATTGAACTTAGGTCCTCTGGCAGAGCAGTACATGCTCTTTTTTCTTTTCTTTTCTTTTTTCTTTTTTTTTTTTCTGAACAGGGTTTCTCTGTAGGTTTGGAGACTGTCCTGGAACTCTCTTTGAAACCCAGGCTGGCTTTGAACTTGCAGAGATCTACCTGTCTCTGTCTTCCCAATGCTGGGATTAAAGGCGTGCTGCTGCACCTGCACCTGCACCTGCACCTGCACCACCACCACCCAGCACAGTACATGCGCTAATTAATCTCAGAGCCATCTCTCCAGCCCAGATTTTTTTTTTCTTTTTGAGGCATAGACTTCCTATGTAGCTAGTTCCTAAGGTACATGCTTGGTCAAAACAGGTTGTATTAAATGATATCACCAAATTATTAAAATCTTAGTTGTCTTAAGCTTTTACAACTAATTAATATTTAGCATCCTCCACATATAATATTGTATCAGCATTAGCAGAATAAGGATCTTGGAGTATTTTTACATGGTGTTTACTAATTCCCTGGTGGTTAAATGGGGAAGAAGAATAAGATTAAAATCACCTAAGGGCTGGGCTGGGGCTGTGGCTCAATGACAGAGCATTTGCCCGGCATGCTCAAAGTCCAGAATCTGACCCACAGTAGGACAAAACAGAGAAAAAGAAGACTGCCTAGATACCTGTAGTTTGTCTTCTGGAACTTTCAGCCAGTGATTAAATGCCTGTGAAAGTTTGGTTCTGACCTGTTTACCTGTAATTAAAACATAGGACACGACAAATAAAACATTATTTCACTTAAAAAATAACTTTAAAAAACATTTATTCAATTGTGTTTATATGTGCATGTGCATTTCATGGTCAGAAGACAGCTTTCAGCCGGGCGTTGGTGGCGCACGCCTTTAATCCCAGCACTCAGGAGGCAGAGGCAGGCGGATCTCTGTGAGTTCGAAGCCAGCCTGGTCTACAAAGTGAGTTCCAGGACAGCCTCCAAAGCTACAGAGAAACCCTGTCTCGAAAAACTTGCTTCAAAACTGATCAGACTTAGTAAGATAGTCACATCAACCCATTTCCTTCCCTGCTGGGTACACCTCAGATTCACCACTGTAAAGGATACAAAGGAGCTGGATTCATCCTCTTCATTTTATCATTCAAACTATACTTGGGTGGGTATGTCAGGTGTCTCATAACCATATGTAACTCCAGCTCCAGGAGCTCTAACACTCTCTTTACTGCACTGCGGGCACCCACACACATGCACACATATTTCCCAACCCCCAACACACATATCACAATTAATGGCAAAAAAGCACAACTTTTTAGAAAGAGGCCTACAAGAAAGTCTAAAGTACTTCAGTGACTTTTAATCTTAATTTGGGGGTGAAATGGACACTGAACTTGGGGGTGGAATGGTCATTTTTAGAAAATGCACTTTAGCCGGGCGTTGGTGGTGCATGCCTTTAATCCCAGCACTTGGGAGGCAGAGGCAGGTGCATCTCTGTGAGTTCGAGGCCAGCCTGGTCTACAAGAGCTAGTTCCAGGACAGCCTCCAAAGCCACAGAGAGACCCTGTCTCGAAAAACCAAAAAAAAAAAAAAAAAGAAAATGCACTTTAATCTCTTCCTTTTTCTAAAAAACAAAGACAGTCTGTTTGGGAAAAATTAGTACTACCTGTCACACAAAAACCTGAAAAAATTTTGCCAATGAATTTCCTCATAAAATTATGTGTCATTCCTTTACATTAAGGTTTTAAGAGAGTAGGACGACTTTAGTTTACAGTTAAACCAGTTAAACAAGTGCTAGCCTCGTTGTGTTGACTAGGGCCACTAGCTTTCCAAAAGCATTTTCTTTTTCACATGGAAAGCTGGGGAAAGGTCTTTAGGTAGTAGTTGCCAGTAGAGTTAAATTATCATAAGCATAAAGCAATGGTAGATAAAAATTACAATCAGTTCATTTAATATAATTTTGTATGCAAGATCCAATATTGCAAATTCAGGGCTCAAGAAAATAGTTACACAGAAGTCAAATTACAGAGGCTGGGAGGTGGCTCTGTGGTTAAGAACACTTGCTGCTCCTCCAGAAGTTACAGGTTTGATTCCCAGCTTTCACATGGTGGCTTAGAATTCTAACTGTAACTTCAGTCCGAGGAGATCTGACTTCTTCTGGCTTCCTCAAGCAGAAGGAGTACACGTGGTACACAGACACACACAGCCCAAACCTCCATACACATAGAGTAAAAGTGTAAAATGACACAAAAAGTTAAGTTTCAGTCTGGGTACAGTGGTGCATACCTTTAATCTCAGCACTAGGAAGACAAAAGGAGACAGACCTCTGTGAGTTTGAGGTCAGCAAGCCTCTGACTCAAAAAAAAAAAAAAAAAAAAAAAGTGAAGTTTCAGAGGTAAAGGTGATTAGGGTAAAGACTAATGACCTGAATTCCATCCCCCAGGATCCTCGAAGCTCCACATATAGTCACAGAAATAAATTAAGGAGAAGAAAAAAAAAAAAACGGAGTTGGGTTGGACAGATGGCTCAGAGATTTAGAATAAGTTAAGAGGACTGGCGTTGGTGGCGCACGCCTTTAATCCCAGCACTTGGGAGGCAGAGGCAGGCGGATCTCTGTGAGTTCGAGGCCAGCTGGTCTACCGAGCAAGTTCCAGGACAGTCTCCAAAACAATACAGAGAAACCCTGTCTCGAAAAACCAAAAAAAAAAAAAAGAATGAGTTAAGAGCTGGGCAGTAATGACCATGCCTTTAATCCCAGCACTTAAGAGGCAGAGGCAGGAGTTTGAGGCCAGCCTGATCTATGATTGAGTTCCAGTGCTAAGCTACACAGAGAAACCTTGTCTCAAAGCCCCCCAACCCTCTCCCCCCCTCCAAAAAAAATGAGTTAAGGTCCTGTAGAGGGCCTGGGTTTGGCTCCTAGCACCTATCACAGAAGCCTTACAACTGGCTGTAACTCCAGCTCCAGAGGATATAACATCCCCTATGACCATAGTCATCTGCATGCATGTGCACATACCATCCCACGGACACATAATTAAAAGAAAGAAGAAATAACATTTTAGGATTGGTCACAGAACACCTGTAATCCTTGCACTTGGAAAGCAGAGGCAGAAGGTTCACCACAAATTCCAGGTCAGCCTGGGCTACTTAATGGATTCTAGGCCAGCTTAGGGAGGTTATTAACAAGATACTGTCTCAATAAAACAGAAAGCAAAACAGAGGCATTTTCTTTTTTTCTTTTTAAAGAGCCAATTCTTTTTTTTTGTTTTTGGATGTGAGACAGGGTTTCTCTGTATTGTTTTGGATGCTGTTCTGAAACTAGCTCTTGTAGACCAGGCTGGCCTCGAACTCACAGAAATCCGCCTACTTCTGCCTTCGGAGTGCTGGGATTAAAGGCATGCACCACCAATGCCCGGCAAAGAGCCAATTCTTTAAAAAAATTATTTATTTATTCATTATGTATACCAGAAGAGGGCACCAAACCTCATTACAGACGGTTGTGAGTCACCAGTGGTTGCTGAGAATTGAACTCAGGACCTCTGGAAGAGCAGCTAGTGCTTTTAACCTCTGAGCCATCTTTCCAGCCCCCAGAAACACTTTCATTATATAGTTCTTTGAATAATTCCTCTTTTAATGGTATCACTTCAAGTGGAAGGTCTCAAAGACCATTTAAGTTTACCCTTTCCTGTTGCTAACATTTAAATAAACACCACTCTGAAAACTATGCTATATGAACAATAACTGAACTGTTTGTTACCTGGTAATTGAAGTAAGTACATATAGGGTTCTAGAAGAATTCTTTCAGCTTTCTCTTGAGTTTTCTCCATGTTTTACAAATTTCAAAGCTGACCTGTTAAAAAGGAGAAATATAAAATAAATCAAATTACCTTTAAGTTTTAGATTGCAAAGGAATTTTTATTAAGGTGGTGCTTAGAAAGACAGACCTTAAATTTTATTTACATAGCAAAACATTACATGTATAAAACCTTGAAAACATTTGCAGAGCAAAAAGAGCCAGCCACAAAAGAACATGCTGTATGATACTACTTATAGGAAATGTTCTGAATCAGGCAATCTACACAATGGGAAAGGAGGTTAGTGGTTTCTGGCTCAGAAAAATAAGGACTGCTACTAATGAATAATGAAGGTGTGTGCACACGTTAGCATGTGTGTGGTGTATGTACAGGACCAAAATGGTATTAGAATGTGGTGATGGCTGTACACTGCGACTATACTAAAATCTACTAAATGGATATTTTTAAGAAAGTTTTTCAAAAGTCTTATAGTATAGCCCAAATTTGTGACTGTCCTACCTCATGGTTTTTAGTGCTGAAATTACAGACATGCATCACCATATCTAGTTTGTCCTGAGACGGGGTCCACTATGGTGCCCAAGATAGTCTTGACGTTGTGAGTTCAAGCCACCAAATTCATCTTAACTATATACTTTGTATGGGAGGTATATAAATTATACCTCAAGTTTCTAAACAGAAAAAATTTTCATTCCACTGATTACATAGACCAGAATGTTTAATTTAATTTTTTTTTTTTTGGTTTTTTCAAGACAGGGTTTCTCTGTATTGTTTTGGAGCCTGTCCTGGAACTCACTCGGTAGACCAGGCTTGGTCTCGAACTCAGAGATCCACCAGCCTCTGCCTCCCATGTGCTGGGATTAAAGGCGTGCACCACCACCACCACCACCACCACCACCACCACCACCACCACCACCACCACCCGGCTCAGAATGTTTAATTGATTTTAAAGTAGTTTTCTTAGATGACTTATAGTAAGCTTTGCTAGTTAATTAATCATAAATAGCTTAAATTGTTGACACCAAATAAATGTCAAAACAAATTCACAAAACAGACATTTCAATAGTGATTACAAATATTCTTCCATGAATATTAAGATAAGTGTGCTTTGTAATTTGTGAAGAACATTTTTCTCAGATCAATAAATTTCAGAGATTATTTATAGCTGCATACTAATTTGAATACAATTATTTTATTTAAGAATTCCCTATAGTGCTTCATTATTTTGAATATTGCCTTTACTTCCATATTTCCAAGAATATAAATTGTGGCATGTATGTACATATGTATTTTTTGAGACAAGATATATGCAGTCCCAGCTAGCTTTGAATTCCTGATTCTTCTGCCTCTACTTCCAAATATGAATCATGGTCTTTGCGGGGGGTGTCCTTTACTGGTGAATCTCCTGTTTCTTTGTAAATATCTATGTCTATCTACTTTTCTCCTAAGAGGCTTTGCTTTTCTGGTAACCATGGCATCTCTGATAAGGTTTAGGTGTTACAGTTATGTCTTCTTTGGGGAGCACCATTTTGGTTTTCAGGATAGCAAGCCCTCTTTTAGTAATTTTTTATGGATTCACTGTAAATATAAAACCAAATTTAACTTGGTTACATAATGGCAGCTCATAGTTATTGTTGGTCAAGAGCTAGCTGCATGGTACAAGCTTTGGAAAAGTAAGGCATCTCTGATATGTAGACGGAGTTTCTGTTCTACCTGGTCCTGCAGCCGATTAGTCCCTCCCAAGTAAACACACAGAGGCTTATATTAATTATAAACTGTTTGGAAGATGGCTCAGGCTTCTTATTGTCTAGCTCTCTCTTAATTACTAACCCATATCTATTAATCTAAGTACTTCCATGTGGTCTTGGCTCACAGGAGAATGCCTGCACCTGTTACACCATCTATGGCTACATGGTGTCTCAGCAGATGAGAGTAATTTCCTGTTTCTCCCTGCCTATAGCCTGTTTCTGCCCAGCTATCTCACTTCCTCTATGTCTGTACAGACCTCTCTGGTTAGCTAGTGGCAAGTTCCATTCTCTGACCCTCAGACAGGCTTCATCCTACAAGCAAGATATCACCACAGTGATGGTTAGTGTTGTCAACTTGATAGGCTCTAGAAGAGGGAGTCAGTTCTCTTCTATCATGTGAATCCCATGGACAGAAAAACTCAGGTTGTCAGGCTTCATGTCAAACCCTTAACCTAGAGGCATCTGCTGACTCCACATACAAAATTAAAAGAGTTAAAAGAGAAAATCTATACTGACCTCCACAAAAGCACTGTGGCATGTGGATGCTCACACACATACACAAAAAAATATCTATCATAAACAAAAACTTTTGTATGTGCATGCATTCATGTGTACCAGTACATGTTTGTATGAAAGCTATATAACAACCTTGGGTCTTCTTCAATCATTTTCCACCTTACATTTGAGACAGGGTCCATCACGGAACCCAGGCCTTGCCAATTCAGCTAGATTGGCTAGGCAATTGAGTTCCTGGAATATGCAAGTTCTGGTCCAGGCAAGTGCTGGAGTTAAAGATGGGGGGATGTGGAACTTGGTTCCTCATGCATCACAGATGCTTTACTGACTGAGTCATCTCCCCTGCAATGTCAGTTTGTAACTCTTTATTGAAGACAGATAATAAATGGAAATCAAGGAATGAAAGTGAAAGTGATATATTTATTGTTCAGGTTGCTCTTTAGAACACACACACACACACACATACACTTTTGTTTCTTGTTTGAGGCAGGATTTTCCAATGTGGTTCAGGCTGCCCTAGAATGAACAATCCTCTTTTCTTACCCTTCAAGTGCTAGGATTACATGTGTACCACCATGACCAGTGAAAAGAATGCTTTAAAAATTATTTTTATCGAGGTGGTGTTGGGAATGCCTTTAATCCTAGCACTTGGGAGGTCATAGACACTATGGTCTACAAAAGCAAGTTCTAGGATAGCCAGAGCTGTTACACAGAGAAACCCTCTCTGGAAAAAAACGAAAACAACAAAAAAAGTATTCATTTATTTAACTCTGTGTGTGTGTGTGGATGTCTTAGTTACTACTTTATGGCTATAAAGATACATTATGACCAGTCTAGTGCAGCCACGCACACTTTTAATGCCAGCACTCAAGAGGCAGAGGCAGGGGGGAATCTCTGTGAGTTCAAAGCTAGTATGGTCTACATAGTCCTAAGATAGCCAGGGCTATGTAGAGAGACCCCGTCTCAAAAACCAAAACCAAAACCAAAAAACCCCAACAACAAACCACAACATTATGACTAAGGCAACTTAAAAAGAAAACATTTAATTGGAGGCTTGCTTACAGTTTCAGAGGGTGAGTCCATGAACATCATGATGGAGATCTGGCAGCAAGCAGGCAGGCATGCATGGCACTGGCGCAGTAGCTGAGTTTACATCTTATCCATAAACTGGAGGCAGAAAGCTAACTAGGAATGGCATGGTCCTTTGAAACCTCAAGTCTATTTCTAGAGATACACCTCCTGCAACAAGTCCATACCTTCTAATCCTTCCCATAACAGTTCCATCAACTTTGGGGGGTGGGGGCATTCTCATTTATAAACCACCACAGTGGTATATGTGGAACCTTGAGATTGACATCGGGTAATTTCTTTAATCTTCCTACCTTATCTTTTGAAAGAGTTTTACTGACACTAGAGTTTGTTTGTTTGGCTAGACTGGCTGGCTAGCAAGCCCCCGGAATCCAGCCTTTGCCTCCCCATTGCTGGGATTACAGGTGTGTGCAGCCATATCCAGCTATATAGGTGTTAGGGATAAACACAGCTTCTCATGAGTTCACAGCAAGCACTTTACCTACTGAGCCATTTCTACAGCCTCAAGAGCCCATTTTTGGTAGTTAATTCTTAATAATAATATATGTCAAACATCCACACACAAAAAAATCAACAACCCATCAAAAAATGAATTAACAGAGAAACATCCCAGATACAAAATTTCTAGCCAAATGTGGTAGAACATGTTTGTAATACCAGCAGCTGGGGAGAAGGATCAGGGCCAGCTTGGGCTACATGGCATGTTTCAATCCCTCACTTCCTAAGGAAAAGTTCTCCATTATCCTTGGAAGAACATCACAAGGAAAAGAATGATCATAAAAATATTTTGAAATATTTCAAATGGCAACATAGCAACATTTTTTTCTTCCCCAAGACAGGGTTTTGCTATGTAGTCTAGAGTGACCTGGAACTCCCCATGTAGTCCAGGCTGGCCTTGAACTTTGATCTTCCTGGAGAGGTGGGACTACAGTAACAGTAACTGGACATGTTACTTTGTTCTTAGAGGTTAAAGATTAAAAGATGCAAAGAAGGAAGACAAATAATGTTGGCAACAGATCATTTAAATGTATAATTAAAAAGAATCTGTTCTTTTTGCATTTGCTTATGATCTACTTTTAAGCTAAATCCTCAAGTCCCCAAAGCATCTTTTAATACACTCTTCTTTTTAAACCAGCTAGCAGCCATCTCTTTTCAATTAGGGTGGCAGCAAAAAGCATGCTGCTATCTTGTTTGCATTCTGGAAAACACATTTGACCTAACTTAAAATAATGAAGTCACCAAGAATTTGCCTCTGGGTCAATAGCAGGTACCTTCCGCATAGAAATTAAGAGTGACACATCCACTGGGCAGTGGTGGCCCATGTCTTTAATCCCAGCACTTGGGAGGCAGAGGTGGGCAGATTTCTGTGAGTTCCAGACCAGCCTGGTCTACAAGAGCTAGCTCCAGAACAGTCTCCAAAGCCACAGAGAAACCCTGTCTCAAAAAACCAAAAGAAAAAAAAAAGTAACACATCCTTTAAACATTGAAGTGTCATATTGTTCCCCCATATCCTCAGACAGGGTTTCTCTGTGTAATAGAGCCCTGGCTTTCTGGCATTCACTTTGTAGACTAGGCTGGCCTTAAACTCAGAGATCTGCCTGCCTCTCCAGCTGCAGTTTATTTTTTTTTAAATCTTTAATACTTCTCTACCAGTGATAAATTAAAAAAGTATTTTCTTTGCTCATTCAGTTTAACAGTACTCATATAAGTCAATTAATGTTGCCTTTCCAGAGAATATTTACATATAGTATTCTCTGTGGTGGAGAAACATGAAAACTTATCAAAGTGCTGAGAATCAATCTGTTTTTCACTTTCTTAAGAGTCTAAGAGTTCCATATACTCTTGACATTTCCCTTTTTAAACTAAGGACTGTCAATTGCCATGGGTAGAATTCTCAGCTTTTCATTTACTAGACTTGTAAATGCTGAGTGTCACAAACTCAGTTTATCTTAAGTGAATCACTATAGAATGCCTCAGTGTGAATCTGATATCACTTTCCCACTTTCAAAACTGAAAAGCTGTTCGCAGAGTGGATTAGTGAATATTTATGCAAGAAGACCATTTCCCGTTTCTCTTTGTTGGCTTTCCGAGACAGGGTTTCTCTGTATTGTTCTGGAAGCTGTCCTGGAACTCGATCTGTAGACTAGGCTGGCTTCGAACTCAGAGATCCGCCTGACTCTGCCTGCCAAGTGCTGGAATTAAAGGCGTACAACACCAATGCCCAGCTTACTTTTCTTTTTCTTGAGACAGGGTCTGTCTGGCTCAGGGTGGTCTTGGAATGTGTCAGCACCACAACGCTAAACTCTAATTTTGGGTGAGTTATCATATTAGCAATTCAAGTTGGGAATCCAAGGTATCCTATTTTTCACTGGACCAGTAGAGCAGATTAAACCTGTTTTAATTTTTTTTTTCTTTCTGGTGACAGGGTCATCCTGTGTAGTCCAGGCTGGCCTACAAATACACAGTAATCCTCCTGCTTCAATTTCCAGTATGCTGGATCAAAATTCCTTAACCAACCTTCCTCATACTGGGAAAGCTTTTTCCTGAAACGGGTTTCCAGCATGTTCTTTCTTGGCTCTCTTTTCCTTTAGGCTCTTCTCCTGCTGGCTTCTTGAGCCAAGCTCTATCCTCATTCCTTCAGGAAAACGTCTCTATACTTCCCTGAGCCAAAGTTCTAATTCACATCCTCCTATCACGCTTCACTTTGTCTGAGCAGACGAGTTCAGGAAGTTGTACAAGGTCCATCCCGTCTTTCCATATGAGGACTGAGCTTCTCCTAACACCTCAGAGGATAAAATCAGCGCATCAGTACGCATACAAATATTGAAAATTCTATGCAGAGTATTTCTCTATTTATTTATTTTTTTATAGGCAGGCTCTGGCTTGAAACTAGCTAAACAGATATGGGCCACCAAGAAACGCAGCTGTGACGCGCACAGCAAGACCCTTTCACTCCAAGCCCCGGGAAAAGTGCTCGAAACCAGCAGTGTAGTAATAAGCTCGCAGGCGGGCTTCTCCCCTGAGCCGCATCGGTACACCCTTTCGCTCCTCTGCCTCCCTCGCGTCCCACCACCCGGTCGTTAGTCACCCCGAGCCGGGTCAGCATCCGGGTCTTCTCCCTCCTTTCGCCTTCCTCCTCGGTAACCCCCTCCCCCGCTCCCCATCCGGGTCCCCCCCCTGCCGCCGCGCCGCTGCTCACGGTTCCACGATGATCTCAGACTTGAAGCCGCCGGTCCGAGACTAGCAGTACCCACCATCGACTTCTCACTTTTTAGTTTAGACCGCGGCTCTTCGCGAGACCTCCTTGGAGCCCTCCCACTACTTCACCACAGATATCTCCGCCCTCCTCAGCGGCCAGCGACGCCGCATTACTCGATGCAAGAAAATACGCCATCCCTGTCACACTGCGCAAGCGTCGTATGCCACCTCCCCTCTGCCTTATGGCCGCGCCCCCTTCCCCTCCCCGCTCCCGTCGAACTCAGGCAAGGGGTATTATGGTCTTGGCAGTTCTTATGTCCGAGAGCTTGTCAAATGGCGCGGAAGAGTGGACTACAAATCCCAGGAAGTATTGAGGCATAACTTTCTGTTTCCATAGAACTGGTGGGAAAATGGCGTCGTTGTTTGTATCGCTCAAACCAATAAAAACTGGGAAGAGGCGGGCTCCGAAGAATCCTAGCCAATCCTAGATCGTCTGAGAGGCATCCGGGAAAGAGGTAGGGGAGGGGAAAAGAGCCGAGGGGAGGGGAGAAGGGAAAGGGGGGGGCCAGGGTGGGGGGAAGCGATGTTTGCCCGTCAGTCGAGTCCGGAGTGAGGAGCACGGGCGCCGGAGCGAAGGGAGAGTCTCGAGCCACAGCTCGCCACCGCCACGGCCACCGCCTGGACGTCTGCCCGGAGGGAGCCGCAGAAGGTCGGCCGCCGCGGTCCTCGGGAGGGTAGCGAGACCGGGGCCCGGACCTCCGTCTGGGAGGGATTTTTCGTCGCCCCCTCCCCCCGCGAGGGAGCCGGAGCGGCCGCCAAACAAAGGTACCAGTCGCCGCCACGGGAGGAGGAGGAGCCGGAGCCCCGGCCGCCGGCGGACCCGCAGCTTCTTCGCCATCGCTTCCCCGGGCCTGCTGGTGTTGGGGGGGGGGGCGGAGCGGGAGACTCTGGCCGCACGGCTCAGACCTCGTCTGCGCCGGAGGTAGGGGCATTATTTTTCGTGGGGGAAGCTCCGGGCCGGGCCGCGCAGCGGGGCAGATGGCAGCGGGGCTGAGTCGGTGCTCGCAGCGGGGCCTCGGCCTCCCGGGACCCCCGCCCCCCCGCGGTGCTGAGCCGGAGCCGCCCTTCCCTGGCCGCATCGTGGGCCCCGCGGCCTCGGCCCGTGGGGCTGGGAGCTGGGTGTCCTCGGTGCCCGTGCCCGGCCCCGACTCCCACTTGCCCGGCTCCGGCTCCCACTTGTGGGCCTGGGCTCGGGCGGGACGAGGACGGGCTCTGTGGGGTCGAGCCGCTGCAGCCCTAGGGCCCCCCGGTTCACTCAGGGCTCAGCCCCGGGGCTCCGGGCAAAGCAGTTCCGTGGGCTTGGACGGCTGCAGCCGCGCTCCAGGCCGCGCCGGACCCTGGGCTTGTTGTGAGTTTTCTTCTGACAGAAATGGCGTCATCGTGGAGGACGGAGAAAAGTCCGTGGAGTCGCGACAATGGGGCGGCAAGCGGAGGGCGGTGGGGGCGGTGGGGGCGGTGGGGGCTCTGGGATGGCGCGTGCCTGCTCGGGCTCCTGGCCCCTCTCGGTGCCGCCCCCGCCTCGGCGGCGCTGAGGGTGCCGGTGGTGCTGACCGGGTGTCTTTGTTTCCCCTCCAGGTGCAGGTGAAGCTGGTGTCGCCGTGGGGATCGCGGCCCCAGAGTCACCATGAAGGTAAGGCGTCACTCAACCAGCTTGGGTGGCTTTCGAATTCAGGAAGTGTAGGGGCCATGACTGTGGCGGGCCTGCGAGTTTTGCAGAGGCAGGTGTGTGGAGTGGCTCGGTGCGGAGCTTTCCCCTGGAGACAGGGTCAGCTGGTGCGAACATCCACGGGCTGTGTCGTGGAGTTGTGGAGTCAGTTAGGAGACTATCTCACCAAAGCTGTGCGGCTCCGGAATAGAGCAGCGTCTTTTGCATGGAACCTTAGGAACTACTGCACGGACGAAAGCGTCTTAATTCGTAAAACAGAAAGCTGGGTCTAGTAACCTGACTGTTAAACAGTACTGCTATACAGTGGGCCGGCAAACACCGATGAAAGAAAATTTCATTTGATTGTGTCTCAGAGCCGTGGATTTTAAGCAGAAAGCAAAAAATAATTTTGAAGACGTTTAAAGCAGTCTGCTGCTCTTTACTTTAGAGATCTTATATGGCCTGTTGCACCTTGTATTTCCAGGAACTTAGGGTTGTAAGGTTCATTTTTCTTTGTGTTGATGTACTGGATCTTGGCGTTGTCATGTGCTCTGCTCTGATGTGTTTTGTGGAAAACTGATGGTCAGGTTCCTCTAAAGTAAACGTATTGACTGCAGAATAGCTTCTAAGAAATGTGTCTTAAGAAGTAGTTTGTGAATTGGTGGAATAAATCATAGCAATATAAATACAGGTGGTTTTTGTCATTTTAGGAAGTTGTAAAGTTTTTCTTTTTAATTACACTGGTACGAAAAGCTTTGGGTTTCTGATATATCTAGATTTAACTGGTTCAATCTTTTTGTTGTTGTTGTTTTTCGAGACTGGGTTTCTCTGTATTGTTTTTTGGAGGCTGTCCTGGAACATGCTCTGTAGACCAGGCTGGCCTCGAACTCACAGAGATCCGCCTGCCTCTGCCTGCCTAGTGCTGGGATTAAAGGCATGTGCTACCAATGCCTGGCAACTGGTTGAATCTTGATACTAAAATATGTTTTCCTTTAAGTCCATACAAATTCAGATGTGTTTGAAAACGGTAGTAGTGTGTGTTTACAGGATCGAAATGTAATCGATAACATTCAGAATGTAAATGGCATCTACTTTTGACAGTTCTTTTGGGTTTTCTTTTCTTTTTTTTTTTTTAAATTCATTTCTCTTGTCTCCAGAGTGAGGATTTCTTTTGTAGGACTGCATCCAGGTATAGTTTCAAAAACTTCTGTTTATAGAAGAATGCAAATTCTTGCCACTTTAAGTATTTGCCTATTGTACAAAGCAGGTTAGCCCTTTTTTTTGGTTTTTGGAGACAGGGTTTCTCTGTGGCTTTGGAGGCTGTCCTGGAACTCACTTGGTAGTCCAGGTTGGTCTCGAACTCACAGAGATCCGCCTGCCTCTGCCTCACGAGTGCTGGGATTAAAGGCGTGCTCCACCAACGCCCGGCAGGTTAGCCCATTTTTAAAGGTTTTTTTTTGTTTTGTTTTGTTTTGTTTTTTTTTTTTTTTTTGAGTTTAGGGCTCTGTAGATGGCTTGGTTTTTATTTATTGAGTTCCTGTCTTACTTTCATGTGAATGAAAACATAGCCAGTGATATATCAGAGATGAAACCCTTTTCTTCTTAGGCATGTGCACAACTTGAGTGAAAAGTGAGTTTATTAGGAAAAGGTGAGGTTTTTAGGAAAAGCATGTAACTGCCTTGCTGTTTGAAAACTTGGGAAAAATTTTAAGTTGACTGATATATGTTTAATATATTTGGAAGATGAATACATTTTTGGAATGTTGTAATCTGTCACAGTTCCTATTGTAATGCATGCCTGACATATCTTAGAATGTAAATGTCTTTCTGAAAGGGTTATACTAAATTGAAGATGTTGATTTTTGTTCCTTCCTTTCTTTTCCTGTTTAATAAGCTTGTCTGTTAAAAGAAAGGCAAAGACAAGCCAGGTGTGCCGGTGCATGCATGTTAATCCCAGCAGGGGAAGGAGGGTTAGTAGTTCAAGGCCAGCCTGTGTTATATGGTGAGCTAGAGGCTAGCCTAGCATACATATTGAGTTGGAAGCCAGCCAATGCCACATGAAACTCTGTCTTCAAAATAACAAGGAAAAGAAAGTATGTATGAAACTTTAGCCTTGAGTTTCATGCTATTACACAAATGCATTATGTGTGTGTGTGTGCCTGTTACTACCTTTAAAATAAAGGTACTTGTTACTAGTAATGTTAAAAAAGTTGTTAAACAGATTTCTAACTTTATAAAGAACTTTCTGTTTTTAGTTTAGAAAATTCTGGAGACGGTTATCTATTACTAATTGCTAGTATTAAAGTCTTTTTGCAATTTAATTTCCTATGTGTAAAAATAAATTCCTCCTGAGTGAGTGCCTGAGTGATGGCTCAGTGGTTTGGAGCCCGGAGCCCTTCCTCATGGGAGTTGAGTACCCAGCACCTATGTTTTCCAACCACCTTGTAACTCCAGTTCCTAGGAAGGAATCTACACTCACTTCTGGGTTCCACAGACACCTAGACACATTCATTTCCGTAGTCACACACACATACACATAAATAAAAGTAATAAAGATAAATTCTTTGAAAAATGATGGCATATACCTTTAATTGCAGCACATAGGCGGCAGGGGCAGGCAGATCTTTGTGAGTTTGAGGCCAGCCTGGGCTACATAGATCGGTTATCAAAGAAACAAAATAAAATGAAGAAAAGGTATTTAATGGTGACTATATTGGGCCCAATTTTTTGTGTGAAAAAAGGTTTCCTGTAGTTTGTGTGCATGTACATGGTGTGAATATGATTTTAAGCTGTTTGTTGATTTTTTTTTTGTTTTTTTTTTTTGTTTTTTGGGGGACAGGATTTCTCTGTGGGCTTTGGAGCCTATCCTGGCACCCACTCTACTTGTAGACCATGCTGCTCTCGGAACTCACAGAGATCCGCCTGCCTCTGCCTCCCGAGTGCTGGGATTAAAGGCGTGTGCCTCCCACTGGCTGAAACAAGCTTTTAAATTTGTTCAAAAAAGTAATTTACACAAAGCCTGGTCATGATTAGTGTGCTCTGTCTGGAGATTATTTTTGCAATCTGTTTGTGAGAACTGTGACTTGTCACATAAAAGTAGCCTGCTTTAGGATTGGTATTACTGTTGCTGTAGACACTGCTGTTAGGTAAAGGTCTGTGTGTGTGTGTGTGTGTGTGTGTGTGTGTGTGTGTGTGTGTGTACAGACTCCCATGAGGTCAGAGGACAATTTATGGAAGTTGATTTGTCTCTTTCCACCAAATGTGTCCTTAGGATTGAACTCCTACTGTAAGAGTGAATCATAAGCCTTATAGTAAGGACTTTTAACTGCTGACCATCTCAATAACTCTTCTGTTGGTTTTCATAATTTTGGTTGGTATAACTTTCAGCATCAATGTGAAACATTAGGAGATAGGCTATGAAAATTACAGCTAATTATGTTAGATTGATTCCTACTTTTATTTTGAAACTAAAATGTGTCTGTTTTTTATACTGTACATTTTACCAACATTTATA